AAACTTTATGATATAATGTATATTTTCCGCAATATTGTTTTCAATCCGCGCACCATTATCACTCGGGCGAGTTATACGCAGGATTTGCAACGCACGCGGGTTTTTAAAACAATCATTCATTCATTATTATATATCGAATACGCGGTGGAACGTTTAATCTTTCCGAAACACAAATTTCAAATTCTTTGTGATTACTGTTTCGATGATACATTGAGGGAAACATTAAAACGCTTTTATGTATTGGTGGATATTAGTTTCGATTTCTGATTTATGAATTGGCGTATCGATGCAAATACGAGTAATCAAATTAAATTTAATATTAAATATAGATATATTATATATGAATTGCAAATGTTAAACAGAGAATAATTTCTCAAATACCTCTCTGAGTACTGTAAATTAATAAATAACCTAAATTTTTTTATTGAGAATCTTATCTTTTCACTGAAAATACAAGGGATTCATTAAAATTTCGACATAGTTTGTGTTTCTTGTACGTACTTGGCACGTTAAAAATAAAGTACTATTAAAATTAGCGTTTAAACCGTTTTATATCTACACATTCAAATACATTAGGTTTTAAAACAATTGTTTCCACTAAGTACCATTAAAACGATCATTTTTCCCAACAATTGCTGGAGAAAAAGTAAAGCCATTAAAGTCAAATTTAGAGTCATTGGCTAAGTTCTTGCTTTCAGAGATATCAGAAGAACGTTTCAGCTTAAGGTTTCGGGCGTAAGAAGAATTTTCCTCCTCGCTTTCTTCTTTAGGGGTAAACTACGTCCTTATTTGCCACAAAATCGTAAACAGCACTTTATGTATCCTATCCATCTTGTACAGGTACGTGCGCGAGACCTGTATGTGAACGGCACACAAACCTGCACGAGGAACACGCAACTCCATTTCTTGCAGGTGCTGCTAAAAAACTACGATCCACGTCACTGGCTTCCTTTTTGCAATCCCTGGTTAAACTCATTACAGAACGTTCGGTGCACAGACCTAGGTCTACCCTACGGAGGAAAAAGTGCAACCATATCCCATGAATCTTATTTCGGATTTTAACTTTGATTCCTGTAATTTATTTCGTTTATTTATCGGTTACGCCACAGCGAATAATGTTATTTACGAAATCCACTTGAAGAACGATGTTCAAGCGATGTTAATATATAAATTGATTAGCAACAGATTTTGTACAGTACAGAATACTTGTATTTTATAACGAACAAGATGATTATGTACTATATTTTGTGTTATAAAGTGGTCGATAATGACCTTCATGTTAATACGGTGTTTATAAATAATAAAATAAAAAATATGAGGGTAACGTTAAACACATGAGTACATTCTACTGATATAGGTGAAGGTGTAATTAAATGAATCAGTAGCTCAGGGTGAATCATTTTTCAGATATTCTGCATAACTACAAACAGAACTGAGTTAGAATTAATCTTTAACGATACAGATGTATATTGTAAGAAGCATGTAATTGGAGTTGCTGAGAACAGAACTGAGCATCGTTATCAAATAAACAAATTCTTTTTTAAAACATCTAAATTAAAAATGGATATTACTCTTCCATACTGTTCAATGAATAAATTGTTCGTCCGTGGAATGTATAATGAAGCTCTTTTTACGTTATTCCTCTCATTTCTCCGGAGATGGTTACGCAACAAAGAGTATCAATTTTCGGTGCTTCTTTCCCTCTTATTTTAGTTGTCTTTCCGCCTTTCGTTTCACCACTTTTCTAGACTCCTGATCGACCGTACTTAAGCATCGAGCCGAACAACAAGGAACGAGCTACGGAGCTTTCCTCATTACAAGCCGGACAGTTTCGGTCTCGTCTTTTCTTTCTTCAAGGCAGGAGTTTTGATTGAACGAAGGCAAAAGGCAGCCCCGACTCTACCAGGAAGCCCTTGTTTCATCGTTGCCTCAATTATTCTATCCCCACGTTTTTCTTTCTCTGCCTTCTGCTCTCCGAAGACCGGGTTCCCCGGTGTCTCGTCGACGTCCGATAGCACTTACATTCCCTCTCAATCGAGGGAACGTTAAATTGTTCTCAGATGCGGTTAAAATTCAATAAAGACCGCTTAGAATACCCAACGTTCATTTCGAAAAATATCAGAAATCTTGCTCTTCGAGCCGCCCCGAGTAATTAGTGTTTTTTAACCTTTTGATCGGGCGTGTGCTTTATTCCGGGCTTTATCCTTCACGGGAAATTCTGGGAAATAAACGTTGCGCTCTGAGCAATTTAATCATGTAATAAAAGTTAGCTACCCTTTAATTGAAAACTCTCGGACGAAGAGACGTCGTATCTTATATTATTTTATATTTTCTACTATGAACAGATGAAAATACATATTTTAATATAAAAGAAACTTTAAAATTTAATCCGTTCTTTGAATTTATGCTCTTTTTAGGTGTACGTTAATAAAGATGGTAAAAGAAAAGAACGTAAAGAAATTTAATATAAAATATTGAATAAATGATAAGTAACTAAAACGTTCCAATCTTTTGAATGGAAAAATGATGAATTCCTTATTTTTTCAAATAAACATGTAATTCTTCTTTGTCTTGCTTTGGCTTTTCATTAAAATATAACTGTCTTTCTATACGTAACACCACTCGAATCATTCCTTCGAATTCTCCCTTTCCCGCGGCTCTGTTTTATTCACGCGCTAATGCAAAATTCGTCGGAGCCGTTTAACCCCGAACGCTTACAAACATGCCCTTCAGAAAGCGCTTGTTCCCCTGAAAAATCTGTTTGCCGTCTCGGAACTGGCGGAATATTCCACAGAAAATTCTGCCCCGGCAAATATGTGATCAGTTTCGTGAACGTTCGTCGGAGGCGCCATGACGGCAGCGTTACGTAAGCAAAGGCTACGTAACCGAATCAAAATAGAAGTGCGAACGTAGAAATGTTGTTGCATAAGCGACGAACGGTTGAGCTCGCAACACCGGGACTCGGGGCCAGGGGGGAGGTCTTTTCTAAGGATTCTCCGAGAGAAACGCAATTAAAGTTAAACGCTGCCCCCCACCCCCTCCCGTCCTAGCCCCGGCCCCACCTCTTTTCCTTTCGCTATTTCTGTTTCTCTTCAGACAGAAACGTCAGTCTATAAGCGAGAGGTTTCCCGGTTCCCCGTTGGGGTTGGTCGGAGGGTTAGAGAAAAGCGAATTCTCGTTCAAAGGAGCATTAATTCACGAGCTTCTCGCTGGATGCGAGATCAAACACTTTCGTCAATTAGCTCACGGTTCTTGCATGCGTATAATTGGCCTGGCGACCGGCCAGCATCGGGAGACGTCGATGGAACACGGCCGTGCATCGCTGGGAACCGGGGTGGCGATCGGGCGACTTCAGTTTCGGATTTTTATTCGAATCAACCGGCCCGGGGAACATTTGCATAATCGCGGCGGTGAAGCCGGGACGGACGGCGCGGCGCGCGTTGAAATCCCGTAAGGTTACACGAGAAATTTTCTTCTTTCCAGTTGCTTTAAAGTCTAGACCAGGCTGGGACGGGGGAATTTTTAGTGCGAGCTCTTAAAGTCGGTTGGAAGTGTACAAATAAATGCCAAGCTTCGAGCAACTGGAAAACCCGGGGACCGAAAACGCCGAGCTGGACCGCCCGGCATCGTCATCCCTTTTCCGCTGCGGAGAAACGGAAATCTCCACGTTTAATTCACGTTTAATGTGTGCTGCCCGACTGGATTTCTTTTTTTATGTGCCTTCCCTTCTCACGCCGGGTGGTATAATTAACCCGCCTCTGAAAACGGCCTGCAGGGACCAAGCGCATTTTCGAAGGGACCCTTGCCTCCGTGAAAATTCCAACTCGTCTGCACTTCTCCATCCGTGCATACCTTTTTTTTCTCTCCCCTCCCACGCCCCTCGCTCTCACCCTCTCACTCTTTCTCTCTCTTTCGTCTATTTTTCGTTCCCTCCTTTTTTTTCCACTTTTATTACCGGACGAATGTACGGACATAAAATTAAGTATGTACCGTATTCGAGAGCAGTTAGTCGCGTAGACGTCTCTACTCTTGTTTGTGCAGAATTTTTTATTCGACGTGGTAACCTACCTCCTCCCCACCCCTTTCGTGCTTTTACCGTTGATCGAAGCGTTTCGCCGCTACAACTTTAATAAACTATTCGGCCTTTAGACAGGCGATTTTTAGGGGAATTAGAAGAGCGATGCTTTACGCGTTTTTGCGTGTGACTTGTATTCTGTCTAATCCGAGGGTTCGTTGTAGGAGTAATTAATTATTTATGGATTGGTGTGCAATATACAGAAAAATATAGATGATATTTCCATTAACGCGTTAAGCGCCACGGAAATCTTGAGCGTTTTGCGTAACACATTCTTTCGTAGCAAAGATAAATAGAAATAATTATTTATTGTTTGGCCCCATGTATCTTATTACACTGTTGTTAACTTAATTGTGCTATTGAACTTTTATTCGATATCAGTTACGTTCCATGTAATAATTATTTTGTAGCTATTCGGAAGTATCGATAACCAAAATTTGTTTACGCAAACATTTTGAACTTATATTTTACTTTATCATCCTTTATTTTATTGCAAAGGAATAGTTCAATTTAGAATATTTAACATTCACATTTTGGTAAATACACAACTAGAGAATACAAAGATTGTAAGAAAATAGTAGTCGTCAATTCAGGATCCGAACGGACCCAAGCGTAGTGTAGCGAGGATTGAACAAAGAATGTAAAAAAGTACTCGAACTATTGATACACTACGTTAGTGTTTTTGGACTTAAAAGCAATCATAGAAAACTGTTTGTTAGTATTGTTAGCAATTACAATTAAGACTGCAATAGTAATTAGCGTCAATTGCTACAAATGAACTAACTGTTTTATGATATTCATCAAATCACTCAACATTCAGTAATGAAAAAGTTGGCAATAAATCTGAAGAATCCTAATAGTTTTTAATGATAAGATAATTTATGAATCCTAATTGGATAGTACAGTGATGCTTGTATGTCTTCAGTACAGCGTTCGAAGTCATTATCTTCACAGAGGAAAAGAAGACTGACAAGATATATTACTGCTGAAACAGCAATAACGGTATGAATGGCAGAGGAATCATTAAAAAAGACGTTGGAGAAGAAATTCATAAACGAACAACGCGAAGAATATTAAAGGAAGCTAATTTTAAAAGTTGAACAAATAAAGTCCGCTTCTCCGTAAAATATTGAAGCTCATTTGATTCTTATGAAAGTATGAAAACTGATATATGAATTGATGGTAAAAAGTAATTTTATCGGATGAATGTAAAAATTAAAAGATCTTTATTGAACAGGTACTCATCAGGTTCAAAAAGAAAAGGTAAATTTTTAGTAACTTGATATATTAAAACTGTCGCACATCATGATTATAATGTGGAGTGTATTATATAGTCTGGAGCTAATGTAAAATAATTCAGTACATGCTGTTACTGGACTATAAATTTCAACATGTCAATGACTCAATGGGTACTATGAAAACTATGAAAATTTAATGACACTGTCAATCGTTCGTAGGAAGCTACCTATTTATGGCACATGTTTATTTATGTTTATTTATGTTTACCTTATATCGAATAATATTGAATATTAAAAATAACATTAAATGTCAAAGTATACACGCTTTATAAAAAGTAGTGGTACTAGTAAGGGAAAAGGTCAGTAGTAATTAAAATCAATGTAACGAAAAATACAGTCGGTAGAAAAACATAGGAGGGAGCTTCTCGATTAACTACTTACAACGTACTAAAAATATATAGGTTGTATCACACAGAATGTTAAAAACAAATTATTCATTACCGTTTATATTTATAAGGTCTGTATTGAAGAATCGCTTTTAATTTATGGAACAACGCGGATAAATTATGTTACCTTTTTAAGAATAACCATAAGGATCCATACAATAATACACGTAACTGTGAATCCATTGCAAATATCCACAGATTTCATTAACCAGTCCAAAGAAAACTCTTCCAGCGAATACAATAACCAGAAACGTCGATTCAACGGAGAACTTATCAACGTATTATTGCCCGCTGCATTTATGTATCAGAAGAGGATTTCGTAGTTTGAATAAATAGGTAGCCGCCCTCCGTAAAAATGTTCATAGAATCTACGGGCGCTTTATCTCGAAGTACGCTGCCATTTTGTTTCAGTAATTCCATTTTCTTATTCCTGACGCACTGGGGCTACAGGATCGGTAGAAAACAACTAGGAGACGGGGTTAGCGTCTAGCCTGGCGCCAGAATCAATAGGTGTTATTTTTTCCACAAAATTTTATCTGCAATGCACTTTCGGTACTGTGCCGCTAGGAGCTTTTAGATTAAGCTGATAGAAGGGGCGCGTTATAGCTTCCACCTCTCCCATTGTTGTTGTTGCTGTTGTTGTTGTTAGTTTTGCGAAAGATAGAAAGTGGTCGATGTTGAACGATGCAACAGAGAATGAGTTCGGTGGAAACCGGGAATGGGGAACGACGTAGCCGAAAGGAACGAATGGGGATGACGAAGTTGAAAAGGGCGGAGAAAGGGGGCGGGCAATGGTGAGATGCCATCGGTGTCTCGCTCTTCTGTTTCTGTTTCGTGGAAGGAGCAGCGGCTATCAAATATTT